TGAAACTACTGTGTACTAAAACTTTGTATCGAGGAAGAATAAACTGGTTTAATCAAGAAAGGACTTGTATCACTGAAGAACCTCGGAAATAATTTCTACTGGAAATAAACAAACAAGCAGATACATAACAATATATATGTAATGTTAAAACATTAAAATAAGTAAAGCTTTTATTTTCCTGTATTGTTTGAGGAGAATGTTATAAAAGTTAATTTTTGTCCATCACAGTGTTCTAATAGCATATGCACAATCACTTTTTCTTCTTGCAAAGTTCCTCTTCCTCCTTTTATTTAATCAACTACTTTTATACTTCTTAACTGCTGTAATTTGCACAGTGAATTAAATCTAAACTCTCGTTAAAATTCAGTTTACAAACACAATAGAGAATCAAGTTTTGATCTGGCTTGATTTTGATTAGTGTCATTAACAGTGTAATATAATTTATTTTTATTGTTGCAGAAACCCAAAGTCTAACATGGTAGTGTAAATGAATGCTTTTGTTGAACTCTGGTTGGAAAAGGAATTGACTCATTTTACACACAGTGCAGTCACATTAATAATTAAGTTTTGTGTGCATGATTTTCAACTTGAAAGGCATCTATACCACACATGGATTGAATGACAAAGTCCCTATTTTAGAACTGCAGACTAGAGGGAGAACAACAAGTCAGTAGCTTCCGGTGCTTATCTGATTATATTACCGAGTATCAGGAATTAGTGTCTCTTTTATTAATGTTCCTAACACTTGTAAGTGTGGAGCATGTTCAGCAGTATATCGTGGCTCGAACCTCGGACATTCTGGTCTGCAGATTGGCATAATAACTATTTGGCTACAGCTGGCCTTATGAATAACTAAAGATCGTATATTTTACCAATGCCAAACAATGAAATGGACTATAAACCAGCAGACCCTACTATACAGGCCTATTATTATATTATCAATTCATTTTGTATATAGGCTGTGAAAATAATATTTTAATTTAGACTTTTTAATTTAATATAGGCCTTTAAAACTTTATATATATAATATAAAGTTTTTACTTTTCAACTTTAGACTGTTGGATATGCAAGACTGTGTAGTGCAAGCATAATCATTTAAGTTATTTTGTGAGTTAATATTTAATGATTGTTGAGTTTTTCATAACAAGAGAGTTAAAAGCAATTATTTTAAAGGTGATAGTTAAGACAAGTTTTGTTTCCTAACTCGTAAGAGTCGTACATTGTGTTTACAATTCATTGGTGATGAGGCTACAGAAAACTCAAGAGGCCTCAGCGTGAATAGCCTTAATGGTTGATATTTTAAAGTGAGATTAACAGTTTGATAGAGATAAGGAGAATAATTTGTTTTCTCCAGTGGTGTTCTAAACTAATTGAAACCACGTGTGTGGATTTTAACGAAAAAAAGACAATTATTGGAAGTTCAGGATACAACTGTGGTAATCCACGAGGCAGCGTAAGTTAATTATTCCCCGATACTATTGTGACAAAAGTAGAGAAAAGTAGATTGGCTTGACAACTGTATTCTAAAGTAATTGAATTAGCCTAATTGCACTTTTGACAAGAAGAAGAGAACTGTATAGTGTTTAAGATATGACTATGATTTCCATAGTGTAAATATTTTTTGTATATACCTTTAACTTATTTTGAATGTATTATTTCAAAACAAGTGGAGTGCATGCTGTCTTTATATTGTTCGAATTCATCGTCAACAAGTCACAGATTCCTACAGTAGAATAATTTTTGGCCCACACCCATTTATATACTTAAAATTCTGACATAGAACTACTACTACATATGAACTTTAAATATTTTGATTCTCTCACCAGTCACCATGATAATAAGTAGATCTGTTAACAGAAACTACGACTGAATATCAGCTTCCACTGTGATTATCAATCTCACTGTCTCTGTCAGCCTGGCATTTGTTCACCGTCCTTGAGTTTCTGATTCAAGATCAGGGAATCGGGACTCGCGATACTCGCGCCATTGTCAAATAAAGTCGTAAACAACATAACATTGCACACTTACTGTTGCTATGTTGTATATTCGCACAGTCAAATGGCAAAGGCCTCTGTGGAAAATACCTAAATAACACTAAATTTTCTTAATCTCATAGTCAGTGTTCTCTGCCACTGACTGAACTATAGTACAAAGTATAATCACACATTGTCAACAAGTATTATCCACAGTTAGGCATACACTACAGAGAAAGTAAACTTATTAAAGTAGGCCAAAAGTGAAAGTATATACTATTTTTTAGAATAATGATACAGGTATTATGAAATCAAAAATTAAAAACAAACTTTATTAAATCTCCAAGTTATTGAAGGCCAACAAGTCAGTTGACACTTGTGACATATGTGATATGTGATATTTAGTTAACTAAATGAACATTAGTAAATGCTCTTTACTAAAATATATCGGAACAAAAAATTTTAAAGTGAAATTTCCCCTAGTCTCCCAATCTCAGTCCAGTCTGACACTAAAGGGTACTTATATTAGAATAGACCAAGATGAAAAAATAAATGCATTTTAATATACCCAGAATATCACCCAAAAATACTGGTCTGTAAGACTAGTACATGCACTTCACAGAGAAACAGTTCAGTGAATTTGGTACAGTGTTTAATATACACTGGATCTCATGAACTGGCTTTTTAGGAGAAGAAGGAATAAGTGAAAACTGATTTGGTACATTGCTGGAACAAACACATGTTAATATATTTGGATCTTTCCTGATATGGAAAGATGGTGATATTTATCATGACCTACAACAGTAGTTTATAATAAGGATCACAAGGAATTGCATAAAACCCTAATAGAAAAGCCTGGCAAAAAGCACCTTAAACAGTAAAGATTCAGTTCAAACAACACTTTAAAATCTTTATTATTCACTGCTAAAGCTGTACACATATAATAATGCACAAAAAGCACACATGTTAGACTTGCAAGGAAAAGAAAATCTGCTCAAAATGGCTCATTTGTAATTCTTTTTCTTCTTATTATTATTATCTTTCTCTTGCCTGCCTACAACAAAACCGGATTGGTATATTGCACCCAAACCTTTTGTAGATTACTAAGGTCGTAGGGGTATTGAAAAGTCGATTTGATTCTTCTATACTTTACATAAGCTAAACAACATAATTCATGTGTAAACGATGTTATTATAACCCCTTGAAGTTTGCTTTCTCATACATATATGGTGTCCTATATAAAGGTTAAGTACACTGTGAAAAAGGAAATACCAGCCAATAATAGATGAACATTAAATGACTGTAACATGCTTTGTACACTATACAATCGGTGTCTTTAGGGAGCCAACACCTTTATTATGTATCATGTGAAAGCTGTATCAGCTAGCTACTAGCTATACTTATTATCATTACAATGTATAAACTTAGCTACCATATCAAGTAACCCTTTGCTCATAGATGAGCATAAAAAAAACAACAAGCAAACAAGATAAATAAAAAATTGGGAATTTAAAACCTTCAAATAGGGATCATTAAAAACTAAGGAAACAAGGCTGGAGATATTGTAGACATTGTTTACTCAAACTACAAACCCCTATTTTGGCTCCATGCTGTTACCTAGAATTACATTTGATGGAGTCTAAATAGAGATTTGTAGTTTGAGTAAATAATGTTTACAGTATCTCCAGCCTTGTTTCCTTACTTTTTACGATCCATATTTGCAGGTTTTTAAATTCTCAATATTTTATTTATGGGTGTACTCTATTAAACACATTTAAAATGCACGTTTCTGAGACAGATCAGGTTTATGTTGTCTGGATTCTTTGATTGATCAAGAGACCATTCAAATGCATAACATGATTTCATGCCGAAATTTTGTGCTCTACTTTCGTATGATAATTCAGGGCTATAAGTTAGATTTTACACTTGAAAGGCTTTACTATTTTCTGAGACAAGTGAATGATCCAACATGTATAATGACTGCTACACCACAGACTTGCTATACAAAGTGTTGGAGATATTCTTTTTGATCGAAGGTTAACGTGATATTTACATAGGTTAGTTATCTTTAAGAAAACTTGGTCTTTGTAATTTTTTCCACATTTACAACAATGACCTATATTACTTGTTTGTTTATTTGCAATTAAGCACAAAGCTACACAATGGTGCTCTGCCCACCACGGGTATCGAAACCCGGTTTCTAGCGTTGTAAGTCAGCAGACATACCGCTGTGCCACTGGGAGCACCTATATTCCATAGATTAAGATAACTATGACGTATTATAGATAATTACATGTAATATTTACCAACTTTACTGTGTCACACTGTTTTGATTTTACGAATAAGCCCTACTCATTCTCTAAATCTGTTAAAAAGTTTTACTACTTACACAATATTTGTTTACCACATAATATATTTATATTATTTCATTGGGACTTATAGAAATATCAAAAATTGGGGGAAGCCAAAATTTCTTTGAGAAAAACAAGACATCTTATACTCATGTGTAATTTTAAAATGACTCATTATTCACCCTAAATTTTAGCATGTTAAACTATATTGAGCCAACATTGTGCTTTAAAAAGTACTTTGTATTGAGTTTGAAGCCCGAAAGTACTCACAGACCTTGGAAAAAATTAGAAGGTTTTTGACCATTCTAGCATATCTAGCCTTTGGAGGAGGGGCGGGATAACAAGTCCCTTTGTTGTATATACAAGACTGTTCAGTATAAGAGTTATTATTTAGTTTATTTTGTGACTTAGTGTTTAATAATTGTTTAGTTTTCATGACAAGTGTGTTGAAGGTTGATCGTTTTAAAAGCGATAGTTATGACAAGTTTCGTTATGAAGCTTTGTACGAGTCGTGTATTGTGTATGCAGTTTAATTGTTATACTAGGCTTTATTAATACCGTGACCACATCTTACTCGAAATTTCTAAGTTTTCTCGTTGTGTGTAATATTTTTGTTACTAGAGGGCTAAATATTTCTAGATTTTTCTGTGGTGTGTTATAAATATGTGCAGATACAGAGAGGAAGTCAAAAAATGTTAAGTTAAGGAAAGTTAGACTGCATGATTGTTAGTTTAGCTGTCATGAATGATTTATAAAGTGAGAATTTCACAGTTTAATAGAGATAAGGAGAATAATTTATCTTATCAAAGGGTGTTCTAAAGTAATTGAACCCACCTTTGTGAAGTTTGACGAAAAGAGTTCAATTATTTACAATATACTGTGGTAAACGTAAGTGAATTTATCACTGATTTTATTGTGAGAAATTGTTTGTTTGTATTTAAGCATAAAGCTACACAGATGGCTATCTGTGCTCAGCCCACCATGGGTATTGAAACTCGGTTTCTAACGTTGTAAGTTGAGAGACATACCACTGTGCCACCAGGGGGCATGAGAAATAGAAAGAGAGAAGAACAATTCATCTTGTCAATTGGGTTCTAAAGTAACCGAACCAACCTATGTGGACTTTTGACAAGAAAATTTAATTATTTAAAGCTTTGGATACAACTGTGATAACCAATGGTATAAAGAATTATTGTACATATGTTTGACTTGTTTCGAATAGTTTTTTAAAACAAGGGGCTTGTTTGTTGTCCGTTTATTGTTCAAATTTATCGCCAACAAGTCACAGACACCTACTGTAAAGAATCCCAGCCCATATATATAAAACTGACACTCTTTAAAAGTGGATTAATGAATAAAGGTCAAAAGCATGAACTTACCAAGACACTAACTAAAATGATCCTCCTGTTTGACTTTAAAACAATGTTAACCTTGAACGTTAATGTTGAAAATAATGTGTAGCTTTCTCGTCACATCTGTAGGTTTACAACTCTGTTAGAAGACTCTTAATGAGATTTGCTGCTTTCAAGTAATCTATCTTGGAACTTTGCAACATAACTGATGCTCCTTTTGCTCCACACAATATACTGTTACGTCTCCGTTTGTTAATTAACTTTCCGTAACTTCGTTCTGACGAAACTTTAGCGACACATGTTCTTACTTAATAAAACTGGTTTATTCGTTCT